CTGCAAAGAAATTTTGTTATATTCTGCTAAAATACTATTTTATTGAAAGAACATTTTTATTACTATGATTATCATTTTGCTTTCAGTTCTTTCATTCAATTTTATATCTTTTCAATCTAAATGTGAGATGCTTCTACATTTTTTGAAGATATAGAAAGAAATCCTGTGATGTTTTTTTAATCAAGGTAACTACTGAAAATTTATGATTAATTTTCACAGGTAAATAAACTTACAAACGGTGAACTTTTTATCTCAGGTTATTATACCCAGATTCCTACTTAAACAGTTACGTTTTGTTCTCAGGTAACAAAACCTAGATATGGCAGCATGCATCCATGGCCGCTAAATAAACTTCTGCCGTGGAAGAAACAGCGTGAAGTGAAGCAGCGTCTTGCTGGTCTTGAATGGGCGGAAAAAACATTTGACGAGGTATATAAATTTTAGTGGTTTATTTTCTTGTTTTTTTTTTTTTAATAACAAAATAAATTTATTTTGGTCCATTTTATTGGTGATATTGGTATCTTATTTTCAATGAAACAGAGTATCCTTTGTGTCGCTTGTTGGATAATTATTAAAACAGTTGTTCCGAAGCCAAGAAACTGGGATAGCTAAAATTGTACTCACCTTTGCGTTTTTGTCACACTTTGTTTTAGTTTTTTGCTGTTTTTAAGGAAGAATGTACATGTATGTCAAGTTATGGGCCAGATTTTTTATTTTTATTGTTTTTCTTATATACATGTATCCTATATTATTGTTTCTCGTCATGTTGCTGTGTTAAATTCTTCTTCATTATATCACACTCTAGTATATTTACATCTATTTTAAAAACATGTTATTCAGAAATAATGGTATATTAACCTAACAAAGCAACTCACAGGCAACATATTTTTTATAAGCTATTTCTTCTTGTCTGTACCAGGTATGTGATGAAGTATTGACATGCTGTCAGGCTCTATCAGAAAGACTCGATAAACAAGACTTTTTCTTTGGGAAAAGGTAAGTTTTATGGATAAACTGAACTAGAATTGGATAGAGCTTAATTTAAAAGATAAAAGAAAACATTTTTCTTAAAAGAGGGTTGATTTTTTTAGATAAACGAGACTTTTACTATGAAAAAAAGTTAAAGGGACATAATATTATGCCTCATAATTTAATAATTTGTTTTCTTTACAAATGTATTAAATAATGGATTTAAAGCATTGTGAATATCACAATTTGTCATAAAGGTAGCAAAATACTAAATCACTATAACTATACTTTTTGCGGAAATGCAAAAGAAGTGATTGAGGAATTCTTTTTCTTGGATATTGTGACAGGATACCAAAAATAAAGTTATTTGTAAATTAAAATAATAGCATTTTTGAGCTAAATGGGCCTTTAAGCATTATAAACTGTATTTTCATTTTGGGAAAAAGTAAAATTCATAAATGAATAGGTCTTTTTTCAAAGAGTAGATAATGATTTGTGCCCAAAAGCCACAGGCACTTAGAGACCTTGAATCTTTTTATGTAAATTATAGTGTTACATAAGTTAGTGTTACATAAGTTTTGAATGGTAAAATAAAGCAACATTGTATATTTATCACAAATTATGAATGATTATGCCTGACATGCAATATAAAGAGCATTGAAACATGAAGTTATCTGATTTGCAATGAGGGGGTGTGGCCCCAGATCCCCATCATTAAAAATCAGACCTACAGTGTAGTTAGCGATCTGTATTTATTCTTTTATATGACATTTAATCACAAATTTTTTCGTCTTTTATTTCAGACCTACAGAATTAGATGCACTGGTATTCGGACATCTATTTACATTGTTGACCACTGATCTGCCAAACAGAGAATTTGCGTTGATCATTCAAAGATTTGATAACCTTGTGCAATTTTGTGACCGTGTGGACCGGAAATACTATAAAAATTTGAATAATGATTACTAAATGAAACTGATTTTTATATTTTTTTTACAAGGACTACTTGTGTTCATTTTGTGATAATTTTTTACCTTCTATACTTATGTATACTTAAAGACTAAGTCATGCAAGTATGGCACAAATAAATATTAGTAAAAGAATAGCGTGTAACAGAAGGTTTTGTTCAATATTTTTAGCTCACCTGTCACAAAGTGACAGGGTGAGCTTTTGTGATCACTTTTCGTCCGGCATCCGTCCGGCCGTCCGTCCGTCCGTAAACTTTTACTTTAAATGACATCTCCTCATAAACCACTAAGCCAATTTCATCCAAACTTCACAGGAATGTTCCTTTGGTGGTCAGCTTTAAAAATTGTTCAAAGAATTTAATTCCATGCAGAACTCTGGTTGCCATGGCCACCAAAAGAAAAAACTTTAAATATCTTCTTTTAAAAAACCCTAAGAGCTAGAGCTTAGATATTTGGCATGAAACATCTTCTAGTGAGTGTCTACCAAGTTTGTTCAAATAAAAGCCCTGGGGTCAAAATTGGCCCCGCCCCAGGGGTCATTGATTTTCCCTATATGCATATAGTAAAAACTTAAAAAATCTTCTTTTAAAGAACCCAAAGAGCTAGAGCTAAGATATTTAGCATGAAACATCTTCTAATGAGTGTCTACCAAGTTTCTTCAAATAAAAGCCCTGGGGTCAAAATTGGCTCCGCCCCAGGGGGTCATTGACTTTCCCTATATGCATATAGTAAAAACTTAAAAAATCTTCTATTAAAGAACCCAAAGAGCTAGAGCTAAGATATTTAGCATGAAACATCTTCTAATGAGTGTCTACCAAGTTCGTTCAAATAAAAGCCCTTGGGGTCAAAATTGGCCCCGCCCCAGGGGGTCATTGATTTTCCCTATATTCAGTAATAGTAAAAACTTAAAAAAATCTTCTTTTAAAGAACCCAAAGAGCTAGAGCTAAGATATTTAGCATGAAACATCTTCTAATAAGTGTCTACCAAGTTTGTTCAAATAAAAGCCCTGGGGTCAAAATTGGCCCCGCCACAGGGGGTCATTGATTTTCCCTATATGCATATAGTAAAAACTTTTAAAAAATCTTCTTTTAAAGAACTCAAAGAGCTAGAGCTAAGATATTTAGCATGAAACATCTTCAATGAGTGTCTACCAAGTTTGTTCAAATAAAAGCCCTTGGGTCAAAATTGGCCCCACCCCAGGGGGTCATTGATTTTCCCTATATGCATATAATAAAAACTTAAAACATCTTCTTTTAAAGAACTCGAAGAGCTAGAGCTAAGAAATTTAGTATGAAACATCTTCTAATGAGTGTCTACCAAGTTTGTTCAAATAAAAGCCCTGGGGTCAAAATTGGCCCCGCCCCAGGGGTGTCATTTATTAACTATATGTGTATAGTAAAAACTTAAAAAAACTGCTTTTAAGAAACCCAATGAGCTAGAGCTTAGATGTTTAGCATTAAACATCTTCTTATGGGTGTCTACCAAGTTTGTTCAAATAAAAGCCCTGGGGTTAAAATTGGCCCTGCCAGGGGGGGAGGGGGCTCATTGATTTTCCTTATATGTGTAAAGCAAAAACTTAAAAATCTTCTTTGAAAAAAATCCAATAGCTAGAGTTTAGATATTAAGCATGAAACATCTTATAGTAAGTGTCTACAAAGTTTGTTCAATGAAAGCCCTTGGGTCAAAACTGGCCCCGCCCCAGGGGTGTCATTTATTAACTATATGTGTATAGTAAAAACTTAAAAAAACTGCTTTTAAGAAACCCAATGAGCTAGAGCTTAGATGTTTAGCATGAAACATCTTCTTATGGGTGTCTACCAAGTTTGTTCAAATAAAAGCCCTTGGGTTAAAATTGGCCCTGCCAGGGGGGGGAGGGGGCTATATACCATCATGGCCCTCTTGTTTTTTTATCCTGTTCTCTAAGAGGCATCGATTATAATGGAACTTTGTGCCTCTAGGGTCATGTGGTTTAATAAGCCGACTTTAAAGCTGTTGAACATAACCTATTTGGGTTCGAAACTTTATGATTAGGGGTGACTATTGCAGATTTTTTAAGACGCTGACTTTAAGCTGCTTTCTCCTTCCTGCTGGTGTTTTGAACCTCACTCCTCTCACCCTCCCCAGCGACTTTGGATTCTTACAAACAGTTGTTGCTTCTACTTCGGTGCTCATTTTGGCCCAATAAAATGCACAGAGGCGTACCAGAGGTCTTCTTCCACCAGGAAGGCTAGAATGTCTTATTAGATAGAGTTAATGTTGTTTAAATGTTAACCAAAATAGAAAGAAAATATATATGACCAAGTAATAAAATCATGAATATTTTCATCACTACAATTCTCAGTTGAACTTGAAACTCTTGATATATTTCCAGAATGGGAGAGTGAAATTGTCCGTTGTTTTTTTGCCAGATGCTTATTTATCCTTGAATGAATTATAGGAAGATATCTTTCTCCATTATTATTCACTATGCCAATTCTATAAATGTCAGTTATATTTTTAATCCATTGAATACTATATACAAGCTCTTCTTGGCTTAACCCTAGTTATTACTTGATTTGCTGGAATTTAATAATTGTTCACCTGAACTTTGATTTCACTGGAAAAGTACTTGTTCCTGGCAGATATAAATACAATGTTCTTGAACAGTGCATCATGGGTACACAATTCAGGCATTTGTCGGAAGTTCATTTTTATACACCCAAAAGGACTCTTACTTTAAAGAACCAATTAACTTGGTGCTAAATTCACAGTTGTTAGGCTTTCATAAGTTTTGAACTTGCACCCATGACACTGTATGTTGTATAGATAACTATATATAACCCTTAGCCTGCTTAATTTATTGATGGACTTGTCCTACATCAATTTTAGAAACTGCCCAGTAACAGTTTAGGGGATATCAAGATGAAAACTTAAGTCAGTCAGTCAACAGTATAAAGTCAGCTGGCTGACATGTTTCGATACTGGTGGTAGTGGCAGATCACTGCAGGTTCCAGTAGGTTATATGGTTAGCAAATATTTTTGAAGAGTATTTAGATAAAACCTTTAAACCATGAACAACAAAATACTGATATTATTTATAAGAAAAAAAAAATGATTTAACAGTAGCTGTTATTCTCAATAATTTAAAGGCATGCAAAATGGGATTTTTGTACAGTCTTTTTCAATTTAAGTGAACTGGATTGCCTTTCATAGGAAGTCCTAAGTGTGTACATAAAATTAACTTTAGGACTAACTTAAGCCATTTAAATAAATGTTTTTATCTTCAGTCAAATAATGTATACTGTATACTATAAATAAATGCATTCTCCGGAGAAAGGTTAAGAAATACTACGACATACTTGTTTTATTCGCAATGTGTAAATGCCTAACATCATTGCTGTTCAGAAATCAAGAGTCATAGGGGTCTTAAGTTTTCTTTTTTAATAGGGGACGTTTTCTTTGAAACGCAAAATTGTCTTAGTTTTGGTCATAAGACTGATTTCAGACTTAGGACTTTCTATAATTTCAGACTTGGGACTTTCTATGAAACCCAGACTGGAATATCATGGTGTCTGGATTGCAAAACAGTTTAACAGGGTTTCCTTTCGAAAGTAAAACAAGCCTGGAACAAACAATAAGCATAGAGTATGTACAGAATGTATGTTACGGTTATATGCCCTTGTATTAGCATCAGTACATTGCCGCTACTGGTACAATTTATTTCAAGTCCGGATACATTTTAGCTCCAATGCAAATACTATCCACTAGAAATATTGACCCAGTAACCCAGGACAACAGCCACGCTATCACAGTAAGGTAAAATCCAGCATGGAGAGAATAACCTTCCAACACCAGTTCTACATGAAATATCCCAAACGCTAATACTGCGAGAATACCTGAAAACAGAACAAACTATTGTACTTTTCTAGCTTTAACTGCCTCATTCTTTGAACCTTATTCTGCATTTGTTGGAAAAAGCTCATATTACTGTCCTGTGTATTTTTATTTTTTTTAACTCTGTCCATTATTTAGGAAAATATCAATCAGAATATTAACTGAATAAAGAAATTTCGTATGATTATGCATAAAATCGCATAGGTTAAGACATCCTGTCATTCACTGTGTCCGTTTCATAAGGATTGGAACATATCTTAGTTCCATCTACTGCAACGTCCTGATTCCACCCACTTACCTTTGAAATTAGTTTAGCTTTTAACAATGGCAATAACAAAAAGTTTGTTGAATATGGCCAAGGGCCAAAAATCAAAAAATGACATGAGTACATAAAAATACAATGCTATATGCAATACAAGAGCATATTTAATTAGTGATATCAGTACTTTCATTTACAGAAAATATATCTAATTTCTAAAGTTGTACATGTATGTATACGTTTTCTTTCTAACTGAGCATAATAAATATACATAGCAATATTTTTAATCAGTGCATGGTATCTGCTACTTAGGAGAATGACAAATTATTGAAAATATTGTTTGCCGTAGAACTTTCTAGGAATAAACTGTGTTCGATTGTTTGAAAGTCTATGACATTATGATAAGAAATGGTACTCATCTTCTACCACAACATGACATACATGTAATTTACATATTCTAAAATGCTTTGCTGTATCCACCACGTTCAATTCCAAGGTCGTGTGCAGATGTGCGAAAACATGACATTACACTGCGGAATTTACGGACATCTATTTATTACATCAAGATACAGTTAGCTTTTAACAGATAAAGAATTACCTGTTAGAAAAGCAAACGTCGCAGATATGAACCCCAACACCATCTGTTGTTTCTCGTGCTTCCATTCTTTCAACAGGCAATGTTTTACGAGTATCAAAAGAATTCCAAGAAACATAAAGGCTATACTAGCAAACAGAGCATACTGTACCACACGTAGGTAATATGCCATTCTTTGAGAACCTGGAATGTAGATACAAAGGATTGTACATGTAGTTGGAATAATAATTCGAATTGATAACCTTTCTAATGAATGCTTTTGTCCCGGTAACATTGTAATTACGTTTGATATACATGTAATTATAAAAGCTGGCAAGGTCTTATTATTGCAATATTAGACAATCCCCTTCAGACAAAATAATAATTAATTAATCATAACGTTTTTATAATCCCCCTATCAGTTTAGATTATTTAGAATATTAAGGAGTACAATTACATGTACAAATTAACACCAAGCACCGTATTATGTTATATGTCTAATTATTGTCGTATTCGTGATCTTATATAAATACATCATCACGTTTTCATGGTGGTGCATGATATATATTATATTATATGAGCCGCGTCACGACAAAACCAACATAATGGGTTTGCGACCAGCATGGATCCAGACCAGCCTGCGCATCCGCGCAGTCTGATCAGGATCCATGCTGTTCGCTATCAGTTTCTCTACTTGTAATAGAGTTGGTAAGCGAACAGCATGGATCCTTATCAGACTGCGCGGATGCGCAGGCTGGTCTGGATCCATGCTGGTCGCAAACCCATTATGTTGGTTTTGTCATGACGCGGCTCATATATATTATACATACAAATAGCCAATCCTTCGATTTGAACCGAGATACAATGTGTCATCGCGACAAGACGCCGCACGACAACGCGCTGTTTGGCGTGCATCGTTAGCGACACCATGACGACTAGACGAAAGTCCGACAACGCGCTGTCGACAAGACGAAAAGGTGATAATATGGAACGCCTGGACTGTCTTATGTGTAGAATGACTGATATACATGGTTAATTGTCATTATGTTGTGTCCGAGATACAATATGCTGGGTCAAAATCCCAATAGACTGGGTGGAAATCCAAATGCGTTCAGTTATTGAAGTGTTATGTTGTGTGCTGATTACATTTTATTCAGTCAAGTCAATGTATTGTCGGGTGCATAAGTCGTTCTGTTCAGTTCTTAAAACAAACAGGCATGTGGTAATACAGTTATGTTGAGTTAAAAAGATATGTTGTAGGCTGTGACAGCTGATATGTTTCGGTTTAAAATAAGCTCTTCTCATCATGTTCAACCATGAAAATAAAACAGTTGTGTGGTACTATCATTTCGTTTGGCTGAGGCAGTGTATTATTGGGTGATACTTTTTATTATTTTCAGTTGCAATGACATGATGTTGGGGTGCTTTATTCAGACTGTTCAGTCGAGAAATAGAACTGTTGAATAGTACTATCATTATGTTCAGTTCAGATGATATGCTGTTTGGTGCAGAGGTCATTCTGTTTCAGTAGTGAACAAAACTGTTTTATGATACCGTCATTATGTTTAAGTTCAGATGATATACTGTTCGTGCAGGGTCATTATGTCAGTAGTGAACACAAACTGTTGTTGATACCGTCATTATGTTCAGTTCAGATGATATACTGTTCGGTGCAGAGGTCATTATGTTCAGTAGTGAACACAAACTGTTGTGTGATACCGTCATTATGTTCAGTTCAGATGACATACTGTTCGGTGCAGGGGTCATTATGTTCAGTAGTGAACACAAACTGTTGTGTGATACCGTCATTATGTTCTGTTCAGATGATATACTGTTCGGTGCAGGGGTCATTATGTTCAGTAGTGAACACAAACTGTTGAGTGATACCGTCATTATGTTCAGTTCAGATGATATACTGTTCGGTGCAGAGGTCATTATGTTCAGTAGTGAACACAAACTGTTGTGTGATACCGTCATTATGTTCAGTTCAGGTGATATTCTGTTTGGTGCAGAGGTCATTATGTTCAGTAGTGAACAAAAACTGTTGTGTGATACCGTCATTATGTTCAGTTCAGATGATATACTATTCGGTGCACAAGTCATTTGACAATGCGCTGAGTGGTCATACAGTTTTGTTGGGTTCATTCGGATATCTTCGCGTCAAACAAAATGGCGGGCGGAAGCAACTAATTTCCATAGGTCAAGTCCAGGCTAATGACCACTAAATTGCCAAAACAATTTTCTTCCCCGTAAATACCATTGGGAGCTTAAAAACGTCATTTCCATAAATTGGACAGATCGTATGGCATATTTAATACCCAATGGGTATTTTATCAAGTTTATTTATGACTATACTATACTGTTACAGTAATGACTATATTATACTGTTACAGTCATAATGGGCACAGTATATAAAACTTAAAATATGGGTAAGGGTAGCCTGTTCAAGTCACACATGACCACCGTAAATAAAACTTGAAATATATGTGTTGGTAACTTTTTAGACTCTTAAGTGGACACATCAAACGAAATTTAAAATATGAAACATAATATACAAGTAAGGCAAACTTATTTGAGTCACACATGGCCACAGTATATGGAACGTTAAATATAAGTATGGAAACCCCATTTGAGACACACATGACCACAGTAAATGGAACAATATATATCAGTAAGGGTAGCCTAATAAAGTCAAACATGGCCAAAGTAGTAAGAAAATTCTATATAAGTAAGTGAAACCTAATTGAGTCACACATGGCCACAATATATTAGACATAATGTTTAAGTCAGGAAAATGTATTTGAGTCTAATTTTATTAGGTAACCCTTACTTATATAATATGTTCCGTATACTGTAGTCATGTGTGACTTCAAATACATTTCCCTTACTTAAACATAATGTTCCATATATTTTGGCCTAGTGTGACTCAATTAGTTTCCCTTACCTTATAAAGAATGTTCTTCATAATGTGGGTATGTGTGACTTTATTGCGCTACCCTTACTTATATTTAATGTTCCATATACTGTGACCATGTGTGACTCAAATAGGTTTCCCTTACTTAAATATTATGTTCCCATTTTTTTGTGGTTATATGTGACTCAAATGGGTTACCAACACATATATTTTTAAGTTGCATAATTATGAATGTGGCCATATGTGACTTTAATAGGCTACCCTTACTTATATGCTCCATATACTATGGCCATGTGTGACTCAAATAGGGTTCCCCCTTACTTGTATATGATGTTTTATATTTTATATTTCGTTTGCTGTGTCCATTTGTGAAACTCTTATAGGTTACCAAACAGATAAAGTTTAAGTTTTTTTACGGTGGTCATGTGTGATTTTTAACAGACTACCCTTACCATATTTTAAGTTTTATATACTGTACCCATTATGACTGTAACAGTATAAGTATAGTCATGAAATAAACTAAATAAAAATACCCATTGGGTATTTAAAAGTCCAATTTTTATGAAAATAACGTTCTTAAGCCCCCCAATGATATTTTGACAGGGAAGAAAAAATTGTTTTTTGGCAATTTAGTGGTCATTAGCCTTCGACGTGACCTATGGAAATTAGTCGCTCCCATCTTGTTCCCCGAAAATATCCGAATGAACCCAACATAATCGTGGTATCACACAACAGTTTGTGTTCACTATTTTGAACATAATGACCTCTGCACCGAACATTTTATCATTCTGAACTGAAACATAATGATAGTACCAAAAAACCACTGAACATAACGACCTTTGCACCGAACAACACATTGACTTGACTGAAGAAGATATAATCAGCACACAAGATAATGATAGTACCATTTAACAGTTCTATTTCACGACTGAACAGAAGGAATAAAGCACCCCACAGCATGTCATTGCAACAGAAAATAATAAAAGTATTCACCCAATAATACACTGCCTCAGCCAAACAAAATGATAGTACCACTCAAAACTGTTTATTTTCATGGTTGAACATGATTTGAGAAGGCACCAAACATCATATTATTATAACCGAACATAATAACTGTAAACACCTACAACATATCTTTTTAGCTCAATATAATTGTGTTACCACATGCCTGTTTGTTTTAAGAACTGAACATAACGACTTATGCACCCGACAATACATTGACTTGACTGAATAAAATACAGTCAGCACACAACATAGTACTTCAATAACTGAGCACATTAGGATTTCCACCCAGCATTTTGTATATCGGACTCAACAGAAAAACATTTAACCAGGTATATCATTCATTCTTAACATAAGACAGTCCAGGCGTTCCATATGATAATGATATAGGTTGTGCTGTCGTTATCGACAACTCAACGCGCAAAGTGTACCAAATCAGCCATCATACCATAAAGTGAAATTTAAGAGACAAATGTATGATGCATTGTTTTCTGTAGTATATTTAATTTCACATAAGTAAAAATTTCAATATTCCTCCATTACGTAAGGAGCCCATCCTAATGCTATTTCCAACAAAATGTATTTCGCAATTGCATCGGAAAACTTGAATATTGAAAAAAAACAATATTTTGAATTATTCTTTTGCTGCTATACTTACAAATATCAGTAAAATCATAACAGACGGAAATCAAAGTCTCTTTTACTTTGACTACATTCATCCCAATCGACTGGGAATAGGTCCTTGTTGTGTCATTGCAAAACTTCCACAACCCACCGTGACCTTGAAATTCTACGTACTTAGAAACCTGCTCGTTCTTATACTGCCACTTATCCACGCCAATCGCCACTGCTAGAAATAAAATAGCGGTTAATGCTGGTATAAGCCCGATAAGCCCCGCCTTCGGTGACATCATCAAAACTCAATTATGCACGTGAGATTGGTACATATAAAAGTTTCGTCTGGTTTAGGTACATTTATAGATATTTACACCGTTGTATTAACCGGATGGATTTATTTTGTCTTTCATTTTATTTTTAAAAGCATTACATTTTCATCGTAACCATAATCATTCGGCTAAATTGATAGAACAAAAACAACACCAACAACGAACGCACTGAAATATTATTACATATGACACGTGATCGCAGTTGTTACATTATTACCAGGATATCTATTCTTAATTATTCACACAGAAATATCCGATTATTTAGTTTTTCAAATCCCAACCATTTCTAAACCATTCCATTAGATTGATGTACTCTCTGTTTAAAGTAACACGAATTTGAAAAGTATTAATTCCCTTCTATTCAAAGACATAATATATTTTATGTCTAACATAAAAGTATAGACATTCCATATATCAGTTTTACTAATATCCGGTCATAAAACGCAATAATTTTGTATCTAAAATAAATTTAATCATAAATAAATATTTTTATCAATATAAGGCTTAAAGCCCGCTTATATCAATATAATAATCAATATTATCAATAACCGAACTTCATATCAAGTAATTTTTGATATATCAAATTTGTAAATAGCTTTTTTACAAAACCATTTAATCACATCTTAAACAGCTTTTGTTGAAAAATACGTAATGTGTAAAATAAACATTTTGTTAATTTAGCTCTTTATGCGTTTTAATAAAAAGCGGGTGAATAGCACATTTACAATATTGATTTGTAAATTGAAACTACCATGCACATCTTTAACCCTTTTCTCGCTGTCTGTATTGGTCTTGTTTTCTTTTTTTTCCCAAAATTGACAATCTTAATAACATGAATTTTCAAGATTCAAATTTTGCAGTTCATCCTCTCTCTAAAATAATCAAAGAAGTTTTTATGAAGAGGGCGCGGGTTTTATTGTAAAATACCCTAATATCACTTGTCAGTTATGACCCCTTGCTACACAATAGCATTTTTACGTAGATCTATATGCCAGTTAATCATTGCGTTGTGTAGATGTAATTACTGCCTTACTGCTAAATTTGGAAAGTTTAAAGAACAATTTACGGGGCATAAATGCCATAATTTCGGTCAATGTTAGGCCTATTATTTCACAGCTCCAAATACATTACTAATCTACCAAAGTGAAAAAGGCAAAACACATGTGAACATATCTTTATTCTAATTTTTTGGAGATTCCCGAACATTCTTGGCTCAGTTAAACAACAATATCCTAAAATAATACATGTTGAAATTGTGATCTGTTAGATCTCAAAGTTACCCTATAATTATTCAAAATAGCCAATGCAACAGGGTTGTTCACCACAAAGAATATACAGGATTAAGATGACATGCTTCAATTACAACTATTTTTCAATAACATACAAACCCAATGATAATATCATCAATTTTTATTTGCTTACGAAATATACATTAAAGAAAATATAATTCAAGTATTTTAAAATGAATAGAAATAAACCAGCACACGCTTTTATCTCTTTCCTAAAGTACCATTTTGTTCCAGCAAAATGTATTGTAAATGCAGTTTATATTGACGAAAGAAATTCTTATTTATCAACAAAACCTATGACGTCATATCCGGGTACATTCTCGCTCCGATACAAAGGCTACCCGAAAGAAACAAAACCGAAGATATCCATGATAATATTCCTGTTGTCAAAGTCAGATAAAAACCGGCATGGGGACTAAATCCTTCATATTTAACCTCAACGTTATACACACCGAACGCCACTATAGCCAGAGCACCTGCAAAGTACAACAAGGTATAACTATTCAAAGTTTAGAGGTCCATGAGCAAAAACGTTTTAAATGGATACATCAATAAAGTAAAAGTTTTGTATGATAAGACTGTGGTTACCACCATCTTCATCATCACCATCATCATCATCATCGTCAGCGTCATCGTCATCGTCGTCGTCGTCGTCATCATCATCATCTTTTTCTTCTTCGTCAGCTTTTTTCTTTTTCTCATCATCATCATGATTATCATCATCATCTTTTTTCTTCTTCTCTTCTTCTTCTTCTTCGTCATCATCTTTATCATTATCATCTTCTTCTTCCTCCTCATCTTCTTCATTATCTTCATTACTGTCTTCTTTGTCTTATTCGTCAGCTTCTTTTTCATCATCATTATCATCATCATAATATTTTATTTCAATATCTTAACTTATCACCCATGCTACATTTTAAGAGGACCTAAATCCACTAATATTAATTAAGCAGCTAAATAAAATCAAACTATTAATAAATATTCTTTGTATGCTAATAAACGAATCCCTCCCAATCTGGATTTACATGTACCTGAGAAAAAAGCCAAGGCAGCAGATATAAAACCAAGTCTGATCTGTAATTTCTCGTGTATCCATTCCTTCAATATGAAATACTTCACCAAGATTCCCAGGCAGGCTAGAACAATACAGGCGAGAGCAGCAAACATAACATTCTTTACTATATTGTTGAACTTGGTCATTCTTGCTGTGACTGAATTAAACAAAATAAAACATTGAGATAAATTTGTGTCAATCACTAAAGAATATCTTACACTGACACACATTTTTCTGTCTAATATATCATGTAAACACGTTATGAAACTAATTATATATCAAATAAAAATGTCATAATAATGTTGTCTCTTCGTGTTTTCGCTTTTTTCGCATTTTCGAGGCAACAAAGCGAAAATACGACAGAAGGAGGGCGAAAATACGACACATAAAATATTCGTATATTCGCATTCCATCAGTCGTATTTTCGCTTTTTTCGCGTTCAAAATACGAAAATGCGAAAACACAAAGAGACGACAAAGTATCACTTTGTCGTCTCTTAGCATTTCCGCATAGTTACATTTTCGCATAGTTACATTTTCGCTTTTCCGCATTGTTACATTTTCGCATTGATATATTTTCGCATTTTCGCGTTCCGGTTGTTCATGCGAATGGAGACATCAATTCATTATTTAATAGTCCTATATAAGATGTTGTATTCACGTAGAAGTATAATATAAAAGTATCACCCCGCTTCTTACACATATAAAATAATTAAATAATATAACGTTAAGGCTTTCAGATTGTTTTGAATCAATTAATGCAACAATTATTATAATAAATATAGTAATTTGTTCCTACCATCTTTAGATTATCAGTTTATTTTGCTGACGGGTGTGACATGATACTTACGATAAAGGCACTGCCCGCACTCATCTTAAAAAAGTTATGTCTGAGATTGAGGTGTATTTTCACAGGAAAACATTTTATAATGTCTGTTATTCTAGTACTAGAATGAATAGTACAATAAATGTCATTAGCTGTAACGTCCCCATGTCCCCATGCGCATGTGCAACCGGAACGCGAAAATGCGAAGATGTAACAATGCGAAAAAGCGAAAATGTATCAATGCGAAAATGTAACAGTACGAAAAAGCGAACATGTTACAATGCGAAAAAGCGAAAATACGACAGAAGGAATGCGAATGAACGACAGATTTTATGTGTCGTATTTTCGCCCTCCTTCTGTTGTATTTTCGTTTTGTTGCCTCGAAAATGCAAAAAAGCAAAAACACGAAGGGACAACTCTTCGTGTTTTCGATTTTTCGCATTTTCGAGGCAACAAAGCGAAAATACGACATGGCGTAAATCAGCCACCATATGTAACTTTATATTGCTTTAGATGATACTGTGTACATTATTATTCGTTTTAGAGATTTTTGACAGGTTAAATGACCCTATTTAAATGGTTGTTTGAAAATATAACCTGATCGACTCACAAGGCGTGGGTTACATTGCAAACAATCGTTTACATAATGCCATTTAAACTGCCAGAAATATTTACAGCGAATTTATAAAACAGCAAACACAGCAAAAAAGAGATTTCTTCATAAATTGACAGCAGCCGTGTATATATATTAAAGCCATTACACTCGTAAAAGGTCACGATTTTATCCAATGAAAAGTAATATTACGTTACAAACTTGCGTATTATAATAATTGTGAATAATTTACTTACAAACGTCAGCAATGTCGGCGCATGATGTCGGCGAAGTTTCCCTGACTGTTTCAGACTCCAGACCAGAACCCGTCGACTTAGAATAAGTCAAAATTGTCCGGTTTGCAGAATTTCCCATAAATCAGCATATCTTTCATGCTCAATGTAAAACCGTCAAATCATCGACTCTGTCCTGCCATTTGGTCACACCAATGGCTAATTGATAAAAACAAAATAACCGATTGCTGCCGGAATTAACCCACTATTCCCTTCTTTGTGGCATTTCTGAATGCAGGGCAACCGTAAATTCAAATAAGGAAACCGAGTCAGCGTTTTAGAATTTTTATTTTAAATCGTTTGAAGAGATTACCAAGTGATGAGCCATATTTTCCTCAAATTTCGAGCTATCATAGAATATCAGTACAAATCAGAAGAGCCATCTTCAATAATATACTTGAATAAGTCCAGTTATTTGCACGTTTACAAACGGCGTCAACAAAAGTAATGCTTCAATATACCTTTTCATAAATTAAAAACGTATTGTTTAATGACACAGACAGCGATGAAAAGAACACTTTTTTTTCATAGGTCAAACACTCTGACCGAAATCTCCTTTACACAAGGAAGTCGCCGTCAAACATTCTTTCTGAAAGTTCTAAACACTAGAAAATCGCTGGGATGAACGCAAATCTTTCACAATTCGAAACGTGTCTATGCCGAAACAGATTTATCCGTGAAATCGAAATATACGAGAAGTACTGTCAAAGAAATATAGATTACCACGCCAATCACTCTTATTCAATAATGATAACAATAAAATATCATCACAATAGCATTATAATAATTGATTAATTAATTAAAAAGTCTACCAAGCTCATTGTACTGAATATCTGACAAAAAACAAAAAACAAAAAAAAAAAAAAAAAAAACAACAACAACAAACTTTGTTATAGTTAACTTCTGAAAAATAGAAATATAACATGTTATTAAGTTCACAAATATAAAACTTAAAAATAAAAACAGCAAAAACAAACAAAAAACAACGATTTTATATAAAAAATCCAATAGCATTCGGTACTCCTTAAAGTTAAACCTACATGAATCGAAATGTCACTTTTAAAGGAAAGGAAATCAATTACGCAACAAAACTGTCCAGTTTTCAGTTCATAATGCATCATTATACATTTCTATCATTATACATTTATATCACATAAACCGCAGCGCAGGAGTGTGATAAAGCCATTTAATACATATATCAATAGTGTAATAACTCTTTGACGTGACGTCATTTGCGAGTGCTGTCAGTTTTTCATAATGCATATTATACATTTCATCATTATATTAATTCAATGCAAAATGGGCTATTAGTTCATAACC